AGAGAGCATGAGAGGGGGGAGGGTCAGAGGGAGAAGCAGACTCCCTGCTGAGCAGGGAGCCCGATGCGGGACTCGATCCCGGGACTCCAGGATCATGATCTGGGCCGAAGGCAGTCGCTGAACCAACTGAGCCACCCAGGCGCCCCTGGTTTTCCTTTTAATACTTGTTTCTAACTTCATCCCATTGTGGCCAGAGAAAACATTTTGTATGGTATATATTTTTTTAAATCATTGATTAATTAATATTATTTTGTGGCCTAACATAATTATCTTATTAATTATTTATTATATAATTATGTTATTAATAACATTAATTTATCTTGTTGATTTGTGGCCTAGCATAGGGTCTGTCTTGGAAAGTGTCCCATATGCACGTGAGAGGAACATGTATTTTGTTGTTGTTGGGTGGAATGCTCTACATATGTCTGTGCCATCTCATTGGTTTATTGTATTGTTGAAGTGCTCTATTTCCTTATTTTCTTTCTAGTTGTTCTTTCCACTCTTGTGAGTTGGGTATTGAAGTCTCCAACTATTAGTATAGAAATACCTATTATGAGAAATGTGTAGTCCCTCTTTTAATCCTGTCAGTTTTTGCTCATATATATTTATGTCATGGCATTAGATACATAAATGTTTATAATTGTTATATTCTTTCCGTATTTAACCTTTACTAATATAATGTCCTTCTTTGTTTCCTATAATCATTCTTTATTTAAAGTCTATTTTGTCTGAAATATAGCCACCCCTGCTCTCTTTTGGTTACTGTTTGTAACCAAACTATTTCCATCCTTTCAATTTCAACTCATATGTGTCTTTGAAGCTTAAAGGAGTCTCTGGTAGATATTGTATAGTTGGATGATGTGTTTGTATCCATTCTGCTGATCTCTGTCTTTTGCTTGGAGAGCTTAATGCATTTACATTTAAAGTAATTACTGACAAGGAGACACTTCTGAAATGTGTTATTTTTTTCTATATTCCTTATAGCTTTTTATGTCCCTCATTTCCTGTATTACTGTTGTATTTTGTCTGTAGTTGATTTTTGTAGTGAAATGTTTAAATTCCACTCTCATTTCCTTTTGTGTATATTCTATAGCTATTTTGTTTGTAGTTACCGTGGGGACTACAATTAACATCCTACAGTCCTAGCACTCCAGTTTGAACTTCAGTAAATTACAAAAACTGTTCATTTACAGCTTCAGCCCCACCCTTTTTGGTTATTGATGTTATAGTGATCTCTACACTAATAATTGTAATACTAGCTTCTACACTAATAATGTATTTTATTCTGAAAGATTACTGTCTTGGGGTGCCTGGGTGGCTCAGTTGTTAAGCATCTGCCTTCGGCTCAGGTCATGATCCCAGGGTCCTGGGATTGAGCCCTGCATCGGGCTCCCTGCTCAGCGGGGAGCCTGCTTCTCCCTCTGCCTGCCACTCCCTGTGCTTGTGATCCCTCTCTCGCTGTCTCTCTGTGTCAAATGAATAACTAAAATCTTTAAAAAATAAAAAAATAAAAGATTACTGTCTTAAATCACATAGAAGACAAAAATTTTATTTACAAACCATTGTTAAAATAATACTAGCTTTTATAATTGCCCAGGTATTTACCTTTAGTGAGATCTTCATTTATCCATACAGATTCAAGTTACTTTCTAGTGTCCATTCATTTGACCTTGCAGACTTCCTTGGACATTTCTTGCAAGTGAGGTCTAATGGTCACAAACTCCCTCAGGTTTTTTTTTTCTTTTTTAACTGGGGAAATCTTAATTTTCCCCTCACTTTTAAAGCACAGTTTTGCTGGAGAGGAATTTTGTTTGCCAGATTTTTTTTCTTTTAGCACTTGGAATATTCAGTCAGCCCCCTGTCTTCTGGCCTCCAAGTTCCAGATGTGAAATCTGCTGATAATCTTATTTAGGATCCCTTGTAAGTGATGATTCACTTCTGTCTTCCAGCTTTCAAGATTCTCTCTTGGTCTTTTGGAAGTTTGATTATTATGTGTCTTAGTGTGGGTCTCTTTGAGTTCATCTTACTTGGAATTTTTGAGCATTTTAGATATTTATATTCACATCTTTCATCAAATTTGGAAAGTTTCCACCATTGTTTCTTCAAATATTCTCTGTGCCTTTTTGATCTTCTGAGAGTCTTACAGTGTATATCTTGGTCTGCTTATTGGTATCCCAACAGTCCCTTTGATTGCGTACTTTTTTTCAGTCTTTTCTCTTTCTGCTCAGTAGTTTCCAGTTTGCCAGTTCTTTCTTCTGCATGCTCAAATCTGTATTTAATTCCCCTGGTCAAGCCCCACATCGGGCTCCCTGCTCAGCAGGGAGTCTCCTCCCTCTGCAGCTCTCCCCAGCTTGTGCTCTCTCTCTCAAATCAATAAATAAAATCTTAAAAAAAGAAAGAAAGGCAGGAGCCTATGCTTCTATGTATAGAAGTGAATGTGTAAAGTGATTGCTGGAGATAGCAAAGTGGCCAGACTGACAGATATGACAGATTTATTTAGACATCTTTGCTCTAGGCCAATGTATATTTAAATGCAGAAACTCTTTATTTGGTTAAATTACAGATATGGTTAGCATTCTCATATGTCACGTAAAGAACTTCTTCTGGGGCGCCTTGGTGGCTCAGTCGTTAAGTGTCCGCCTTCAGCTCAGGTCATGATCCCGGGGTCCTGGGATCGAGCTCCGCATCAGGCTCCCTGCTCGGCGGGAAGCCTGCTTCTCCCTCTCCCACTCTCCCTGTTTGTGTTCCCTCTCTCGCTGTGTCTGTCTCTGTCAAATAAATAAAGTTTTTTTTAAAAAAAGAACGGCAAACTACTGTAGCATAACGAAACAACCATGTAAAAAATTTTTTTCATTATTATATGCATCTTGTTAACTGCTAGAGAATCCAGTAACTTTCTCTTTTCTCATTTAGTTTTCGGTTAATTGGAAAAAGAATTGTATATTGTGAACTTTCTAATCATGACGAAAATTCATTGCGTTGGAGTGATGATACCCCACTATGTGCAAGTAAGTGTATTCTTTTATTAGAATCTAGAGTACTAGTTCTTAAAATTTTGTTGTTGGGATCCCTGTATGCTTTAAAACTGGAAATCCCAAAGCACTTTTCTTTATGTGGGTTATGTCTATTGGTAGTCATTATATTGGAATTAAAACAGAGAAATTTTTAAAATAAATATTTATTAATTCACTTTTAAGAACTGTAAGCTCAATGCATGTTAATATATGCCACATATTTTTTTATAAAAAAGCAGAATTTTCCAAAGGAAAGAATAGTGGCATTGTTTCACAATTTGGCAAATCTCTTCAAAATCTGGCTTAAAGGAAGATGTCTGGATTCAGTCTGTTGTGTTATCACAATTTGGAGTATCTGGATAATTTCACCGTAGACTCATTAGGATGAACGTGAAAACAGACAGTAGTATCTTGATACTATAAACTACCGATTTAGTGATTGGATATACAGTTGACCCTTCCAACAACACAAATTTTAACTGTTTGGGTCCACTTATTTGTGGTTTTTTAACTGTACGGTACTATAAATGTATTTTCTCTTCCTTGTGATTTTCTTAATAACACTTTTTTTCTCTAGCGTATTTTATTGTAAGAATATAGCATATAATACATATACAGAATATATGTTAATCATCGGTTTAAGTTCTTGGTAAGGCTTCTAGTCAATAGTAAGCCATTAGTAGTTAAGTTTTGGGGGAGTCAAAAGATATATGGGAAGTTTCAACTGTGCAGAAGATTAGTTCTCCTAACCCCTTTGTTGTTCAAGTTTCAAGTATATTTATAAATTATAATGCATTTCTCAGCACTGAGTTTTATTTTTAATCACAAGCATATTTTCTCACTAAATTGTCAGCATCTCTCACAGTGAGAACTTAAAATGGCTTTCCAGATAAATATAGGTATTTTATATAGGTGTCTTACATAGGTATTTAAGAAAATGAGTTTTACTAAAGCTCACGTCTACATTACTGGTTTGAATTTGGGATAATATATTTTCTCACAGAAACTTTTTCTAAATGGATGTTGGAGTTACAGCTAGCTTGTGGAAATCATGTATCAGTGAATTTATTCAAGGCAGTTCATAGGACTTCACTAATGCTATCCTAATCTTTTCCTTTCATTTTGCTTTTGTGTCCTCTTTTTTTTTTCCACTTTTTAAGAGATAATGTGTCCGTCACCTGGAAAAATACCAAATGGAAAACATACCGGTAGTGAGAAGGATGAATTTGAATATAATGAAGGGGTAACTTACAGTTGTGATCCTTCAAGTGGACCAGACGAATATTCACTTATTGGAGAGAGGAGGCTTATTTGTTCTGGTGATGGTGTATGGAGTAGTGACCCTCCTCAGTGTAAAGGTAATATTTCATTTCTTTCCTTCTTCGTTTGTAAATATTTTGGAAACCCTTGGTAAATACTTACCTACAAGTAAACAAAACAGCCGCATGTGCTTGCTCCTCCCATTAAATTGGTTTCTAATTTAATTTTTTTAAAGATTTATTTATTTGTTTGGGAGAGAGACAATCTCTAGCAGACTCCCCACTGAGCGGGGAACCCGATGCAGGATTCAGTCTCACCACCCATGAGATCACAACCTGAGCCAAAATCAAGAGTCAGATGCTTAACCAACTGAGGCACACAGGTGCCCCTAATTTAGTTTAATGTAGGTCCAAGTGACTCAAAAGTAGTTCTATTTATAGAACTCCCCAGCCCTTACCCTACCTGTTCTTGGCATTCTAATTAATACACTGTGAACTCCTGTGTGTATGCATGAGTTAGGATTTTTTTCTTTGGAAACATCAAGACTCAGCATACACTGGCTTCAAAATAAGTTTTATCATGTATTACAAGAAGTCTGAGAGTTCAAGCTACAGGCACTAACCCTCTCACAAATAAGAATGGTAAACTCTGGACAAAACATTTTAAAAATAATGTGTAAAGCTCTAAAGAGTGGCCAAAAGCAGGGAGACTCTGGAGGGGATTTGACTCTTGGAAGAAAGGACCACTGAATGACAGCAAACTATATATTCAGGTACACATGGAACATTCTCTAATACCATATTCTACACAATATGATAGTTTAAAATTTTTTTAGAAATTGAAATCATGCAGAGTATAATACCAGATCACAATGAAATGAATGTAGAAAGCAAAGAGATTTATAAAAGCCCCAAATATTTGAAAATTATGCAAGATACTTCAATCCATGAGTCAAAGGAGAAGTCACAAGGAAAATTAGAAAGTGTTTTGAATTGAATAAAAATGAAAAATACAACATATCAAAATATCACTATGTGGGATACAGCAGAAGCATTGCTTACAAAGATATTTACAGCCTGACATCCTTCTATTAGAAAAAGAGAAAAGTCTCAAACCCATGATCCAAGCTTCCACCTTAAGAAACTAAAAGAGAAGAAATTAAACTCAATACCTGGGAACAGAAGGAAACAGTAAAGGTAGAAATGAACGAAATTCAAAAGAGAAAAAATTGGAGAGAACCAGTGAAACCAACCTGTGGTTCTTGGAAAAGATCAATAAAATGAATAAACCTCCTTAGCCAGACTGACAAGAAAAAAGAAAATACAAATTGCCAATATTAAGAATGAAAAAGAGGACATCACTAACAGATCTTGCAGACATTTAAAAGATAATAAGGGAACAACTTTATGCCTATAAATTTGACAACTTAAACCTCACAAAGAGAAGTGTTTAGGTCCTATGGCCTCACTGGGGAATTCTACCAAGTATGAAGGAATGAATAATAACAGCTCTGCACAAACTTTTCAAGAAAATACAAGAGAGGGAATACTTCTCAGCTCATTTTGTGAGGACAGCATTACCCTGATATTTAAACCAAACAAAAACATTGCAAAAAAATTACAAACAATATCCATAATGAATGTGGAACCAAAACTTCTTAACAGAATGTTAACAAATCAAATCCTCTCATATATAAAAATAAGAATACACCAGGGCACCTGGGTGGCTCAGTCATTGGGCATCTGCCTTCGGCTCAGGTCATGGTCCCACAGTCCTGGGATCAAGCCCCACATCAGGCTCCCTGCTCGGCGGGAAGCCTGCTTCTCCTCCCCCTCCAACTCCCCCTGCTTATGTTCCCTCTCTCGCTGTGTCTCTCTCTGTCAAATAAATAAATAAAATCTTTAAAAAAAGCAAAAGAATACACCATAATCAGGTAAGATTTATTCCATGAATGCAGCAAGCTTGATTCAAATTCAAAAATTTGTCAGTATAATTTATCATATCAAGATCCTATATAAACGGAAAAAAAAAACGCACATCATATCTTAATAGATGTTAAGAAAAAAAAGCACTTGACAAGTCATCATCTTTTCATGATAACATTTCTCAGCAAACTAGGAATCAAAACTATCTGAACCTGATAAAAATGCCATAGCTAGCATTATATTTAATGATGAAAGACTGATTTATTTCCCCCTAGGGTAGGAACAAGTCTGCTGTCACCACTATATTCAGCATTGTATTGTATACAACATTCAGCAAGAGATAGAAATAGGAACACACTGGAAAGGAAGAAATAAAATATACTGTACTCACTCATGAGATGATTAGGTAGAAGATTTGAAAGACTAAAGTTTTAGCAAGGTTGCAAGACACAAGATCAATGTACAGAAATCAACTGTATGTCTACATACTGGCAATAAACCATTAGAAACAAAATGTTAAAATACCATTTGCAACTTCACACTTGTATAAATACTTGTGTATAAATTGAACAAGCATGCAGGATTTGAATGGCTAAAAACAGCTAAACACTTACTAAAAGAAGATCTTAATAAATAGAAATTCAGTCACATGAATTAGAACACTCAGTATAATAAAGGTCAGTTCTCCGTAACTGATCTGTAAGTTCACAATCCCAACAAAAATCCCAGCAGAATTTTTTATATAAATTGACAAGCTGAATCTAAAATTAATATGAAAAGACAAACGAAGCAACATACTCAAAGCATTTTTGAAAAAAATCAGAAGTCTCATTCTTCCTGGCTTAAGGACTTAATTGTAAAACATAGTATAAAGCATATAATCAAGACAGGGTGGTATTGTTGAAAGGGTAGCCTTAAAGAGCAATGGAATAGAATAGAGAGTCCAGAAATAAATCCTTCCAGATGTGTCTAGTTGATCTTATCACAGTTTACAAACAATTCAGTGGAAAAATCATAAAAGTACATGCATATGCAAAAATACCAAGAAGAATCATTAATTCATGTTAGTACACTATAAAAATGTTTATTCAAAATGGATAATAGGCTTAAATATAAAACCTAAAACTATAGAAGTTTTATTAGAAAACAGAAAATGTTTGTGACCTAGCCAGAGATTTAAATACAACCGTAAAAACATGATCCTTTAAAGAAGAAAAAAATTAATGAAATAGACTTTTTAAAAGTTCAGTATGTCTGCTCTCACAGACACTGTTAAAAGAATTTTTTTTTTTTTAAGATTTTATTTATTTATTTGACAGAGTGAGAGAGGGAACACAAGCAGGGGGAGTGGGAGAGGGAGAAGCAGGCTTCCCGCTAAGCAGGGAGCCCGATGCAGGGCTTGATCCCAGGACCCCGGGATCATGACCTGAGCCGAAGGCAGATGCTTAACGACTGAGCCACCCAGGTGCCCCGAAATGTAATTTAAACCACAATGAGATACCACTAGATATCTGTTTAGAATGGCTGAAATTAAAAAATTAAAACTACAACTAAAAGCTAAAAATACCCTATACTGGTAAAGATACGGAGCAATTGCAATTTTCATACACTTTTTATAAGAATCTAACCTGTTTGGAACACAGTTTGGTGATTTCTTATACAGTTAAGCATATCCTTATCATACAGCTCATCAATCCAAGTAAAATGAAAACATGCTTGCATAGAAACCTGTATGAGAATATTCAGCTGCCTTAGTTATAATCACCCCAGACTGGAAACAAGCCACTTGTCCTTCAACTGGTGAAATGGATTAAAAAAAACACTGGTACATCCATACAGTGGAATACTACTCAGCAATAAAAAGGAGTGAGCGCTAATCCATGCAGCAACAGGAATGAATCTCAAAGGCATTATGCTAAGTGAAATAAGCCATACTCAGTGGCAGTGATCCCATTATGACATTCTGGAAAAGCAGCTGTGTAGAGATAGCAAACAGATCGGTGTTGGGCTGGTTGGTGAAGGTGGTTGTGGGGGTGGGTAGGGTTGATTCCAGAGTGGCATGAGGACATGTTGGGGGGTAATGGAACTTGTCTGGGTCTTTATTGTGGTAATTTCATGATTATTTGCATTCGTCAGACCTAATACAGCTGGATACTGGAAAGGGTGACATTTACTGTATGTGAGCTGTGTCTAGCCAACATAAAGAAGCCATTGCCGGTAACAGCAGCTTAGCCCAACAGTGCGAAAGTCAGGGAACCTCAAGTCAGGAGAATGTGATTTGAAAAGAAATATTAAAGAGAGAGAGAGACTTACAGACCTGTGGAAGAGTAGCAAGAAGTCAAGCATACATGCTGTTGGAGCGTCAGAAAGGGAGGAGAAAGAACAGGATAGACAACGATTTGAATAAATATTGGCCAAATATTAACCACATTTGTCCCCAAACAGTAACGTCACAGAACCAAGAAAGTCCGTGACCCCAGCAGGATAAATACACTGTTTTCATTTACCAAGGAACCCCCACTAAACTAAACGCATCAGGGTGAAACTACTGAAAACAAAAGGTGTGCGAGGAGAAGCAGTCGGGGAGAGGGGAGAATAAACGCACGTCGAACTGTCCCCCCTGCCCCCGCCCCAGTGTGAGTGACAGCTGACTTGTCCTGAGCAACGGTGGAGACTGGAAGACAGCATCTGCTAGTGTGCTGGAAACACTTAATCTAGAATTCTCCGTCAAGGAGAACTCTTTCAAAACTGAAGATGAGGAAATGAAACATTTGGAGATAAACCCAGGCCAAGAGAATCACGGGCCGACCTGCACTATAGGAATTGCTACGGAAGTTCCTCAGGCTGCGGGAGAGTCAGAATCCCTGGGAGCAGGGGAAGAACAGTCCTCTGGTTGAAAAGGCTGTCCACTCTCTGGCCCTTATCTCTTGCTCAGATTTAATGTCCTAAGATGTTCTGTTGTACTCACTGCCCAGCCCTGTGGTTTTTGTCTTTGTTTCCAAATTCTCCCAAGCCCATTAATCGATTCTGAAATCAATCTATCGGGTCATGAGCAGTAGTTTACCTCTTAAGAGGTAGAGTTTGGGAAATAGCAGAGCACGCTGGTATGAGGCTAACTTGTGTTTCAGGCCTGTGTGCTCATCTACTGGTTTACAGGGTAAAATGTGTTGTTTGAGCTGTGGGTTGCAGGCCAAGATGTTTGGAAAACACTGCCCTAACTCCATTGGCCTTTGCATTTCTTGAACATCCTGGTTTGTGTATGTTGTTGCTACCTGAGCGCTTCCTTTTTGCCTATCTTTGCATGGCTACCTGCTTTTCAACTTGCAAATTTGAGCTCAAGTATTGCCTGCTCAGGAGGGTTTTTCCCACCTTTCTAGAAAAGCAGGGTATGCAATCAGTGTCAACATGACCTTCCAAAAGTCCCTAGAGCAAAGGAGGATCAAAACTTGCTCTTGAACTTACCCCAGATTTGTATGTGGCAGTCAGGCCTTTCTCAAACCTTGTCAGGAACGGGAAAAAATGTAGGAAGGCCAATAAATTATAATGCTAGTCTTTTCTAGTTGGAGAAAAGTTATTCGATTTCTCTAAATCTGTTTCCCTGGAGTTAAAATGTACATTCGTATGCAGGTTTCTTGGGTGTCTTTTTTTTTTTTTTCTTTCTTTTATTTAATACCTTGCCTTTCATTCCTTGTATGTTTCTTCCCGCTGGGAATTATTAGCTTGTATATTTTTTTCTGCTCCTATGTTAGAGCAGCTTTCCATTAATTCTGGACTTTCTTTATGTTTCAGTCGTCAAATGTCCATTTCCAGACCCTGAAAATGGAAGACTGATATCAGGATTTAGAAAGAAATATTACTACAGAACAACAGTCAAATTCGAATGCTTACCGGGGTTTTACCACGAGGGCAGCAGCACAGCTGTTTGTGGTAGTAACAGTACTTGGGAGCCCGCACAGCCAATGTGTCTTAAAGGTACATCGGGTATCATTTTCCTTCTCGTCTTTTTTTTTTTTTTTTTAATTTTGTTTCTTCAACATTAAATAGAGGTGATGCCAAATAGTTGAATAGAAGCAATTTCAGTATTTAACTCTGTCTTGTAATTGTTTCCCTGACAGATATATGACAAAACTCAAAAAAGAATTGTGCTGTTGTAACTTTATCTGTTTTCATAGGGTCTTCGCATGTTAGGTATGTCACAGAGATATGTAAATTTATCTTGTTTGGCTTTTTTTATGTGCAAAAATGAATAGCGGCCATTTTTCAGAAAATTGAAGCATGGGAATTTTTACCTAAATAAGCCAAGAATGGAAGGCTAACTTCATAAATGAAAAGAAAGCATTAATTCCCAGGTGGCTGATCCAGTCTACATTTTTTTTTTTCCAGTGCTTACTCCTCTTAGTACCAGTCCTCCGATTTTGAATCATACAGGTTTAGTAACTTTCTGCTTGTATTTTCCAAAAATCTTTTTTAAATTCCTGGTGCACATGCCAGCAATAACTCTCAATCATTTGATCCATCTACATTGTTTTGTTTTTCAGTGTCGACTCCTCCCAGTACAAAACCTCCAATTTCGAGTGTCTCAGGTTTAGTAATTTCCTGCTTATATTTTTCAAAATCATCTAAATCTCTAATGTTTTATACGCATTCATCATGTTCAGTAATGAAAGGAGGAAGAACATACTGATAGTCATTTTTAAGTTGTTATCGGTTCTGAAACTATATGCCATAGCATACAGATAGCAACAGGTATATAAACGTGGGCAAGTTATGGACACTTTAAATGTGTATGTATTTGTGAAATGATTTTAATGCCTTCCCCAGTGAGTGATGGTAAACTTTTCATGGGATTCATTTAAAAAGCACAGTGCCTTGAATATGGGAAGCTCCTAAAGGTAGCTCATATGACATCACTCGAATGAATACTAGTGAAGACGAAGGTCCTTGTCTTCTGTTTTTAATGTATATGTTTTCTGTATCTTTTACTTTGCTGTTTTATTCCTTGTAAAAGTGATCTCTTGGCTCCTTAAGGGTGTCTTTCTGGTCCAGGACTGTGTTTCAGTTGCTGGACTGCAACCAGTTTTGTTTGGTTTTTGGTGTTGGTGTTGGTAGTGGTGGTGGTGGTGGTGGTGGTGGTGGTGGTGGTGGTAGTGGTGGTGTTGGTAATGGTGTTGGTGGTGGTGGTGTTGGTGTTGGTGCTGGTAGTGGTGGTGGTGGTGGAGGAGGAGAGGGGTAGAGTGGG